ATCGGTATTTCCCCGCAGTCAAGACTCAGCTAGGAAAACAGTGCCCTGACCGGTATCTGCTGGCTGGTCTGACTTTGAATCTCCTTCGGTAACTTCTATCTGGAAGGATTTACCTGCTTCGACCAGCAGAGGGCGGTGTCTGCGTGAAAGTGAACGGCCAGTTTGGGAGGCCTGGTTGGTTTCTTTGGCCGCTGAGTTACATTTCCTATGGTGGTTTACATCTAGAATTAGTAGCACTTAGATAGGGCGGGGGACGTTGGCCTAATGGGGCAGCGGTTAAAGGGGCTCTGTGTAAAAGTTCAGATCTGAAATGTGTGCTTCCGTGGTGCTGATGTTTAGTGAGGAGTGTCCTCCAACTGTCAAGGCTATTTTGAGTGACTGATAGTTTACCTTGTGGGAAGTTAATTCTTTAGCCATTGTATTGGAGTAATTTTTTTAAAGAGAGAGTGCAGGTGGAGAAATGTAAAGAAAAAAAGACGAACTTTTACAGTGTGACTGAGGCTGCATTTCTGGGAATGTTACTTAGTAGATGTTTGACTTTGGGGAATTATTTAAAATCCTTTAGCTTCTGTTTCCCAGTCTACACAATCAAGGCAAAAATCTACTATGAAAAGAAGCAGAATTAGTTAACTGACTTATGTAAAACAAATAGTTGACAGCAAATATATATTAGTTCCTGTCTTAAATCAGACTTTCTATGTATCTTGTAAGATTTGTAATTGTTCTTTGCCTAACAGGAACAAATGAGGGGTATAAAAGCTGTCTGTTTCTATTATCTAGCCATTTGTGGCTATCACAGATTTTCTTACAGAATTCCTGGTTAAAAAAATACTGATACACAATATTGTCATTGGCCGTCGTAGTAATTTACTCCTATCTCCTTAATTACTACTGGTTGTTAAGAAAGTTTTGAAAGTTAGTTGGTCTAATTTTTCTTCACCATAGTTTTCTCTTTTGGTATTTACTAATTCTTTGTGTGTTTGTATTTTATGTCAAATATTTTTTGTGGGTTGAAAGGTGGCAGAATTCAGGTTCTGCAATACATTGCGGGCCCCATGGTCAGAGGTGGCAGGGAGATTTGGAAATGTTAGAGTCTTGAAAAGTCCAGCTCTGGGTCAAGCACGCATGCATGAGGGAGATCAAAGATCATATTGCTTAGAGATAGATGCTTTCCTTCCTAAGTAAACACTTTGGGCTTTGAGATACTGAGTTCAAAAGCAACAGCGACTGCAGATATTCCTGGTAGCGATGGGCAGGGAATGTGATCAGAGAGGAGTGGTGAAAAGGTGATGGAGAATATGTAGAGTTGGATGTCACTGTGTCAAGTGTGAGTGCTGGTAAAATAATCTAAAGATAGGATGAAAGAGATCGAGAAAAAAGCAAGCAAAAATTGAGCTTTCCATTTTCCTCAGCACCAAGATGACGTGAGTTCCAAATGCTGTGTGTGCTACAGCATATTCCCTGTTGGCTAGGTGTGTTTGGGATGTGTAGCCTTTGTAGATCTGTGGTATTTCTATGTAGCGTATGAGTGATGATACATGCTAGGTGAAATGTTTCATGGGGGATATTTTAGGCACCATGACTTTGCCATCTGGCTGAAAATAAGCCAAATTCCTTAGTGTCTGGCTTTTGCTGAAGTGCGACTTAGATTACTAGATAATGCAGCACTCCTGTGGGGTCCTTGGCTGCTCCAGGGATTTGGAGCTTGTGGGTTTTGTAGGAGTTCCTGTGGTGAAAGTTATCTCTCCCAGCTAGAGGACAGCGCGTCTTGCAGAAGGCGATGTTGCAACCTGGGACCTAATCAGCCTCCTTACACTGACTCTGCTCCATTACCTCAGTCATAAAGAGCCCCCACTGGTCCCCCCAGAGTTACATTTCTGGGGTTAATGCTCTCTCCCAACTTTCCTGGTAGCGCATGTGCCTGTGTTTGTAGGAGTTATCTTGTTTTGCAGTATTGTAAGAGGATCCTGAGGTCTAAACTGTTTAGATAACTGTTGTAGGTAGGGATGCTTTCTTGATAAGCTAATCATTACTTTGGGTTTTTTTTGTTCTTCAGTTCAGTCCTGTCTCTAATGTTGATCTTTATCTTCCCTGTTCTTTATCAACAGTTTGCCTTACTTATCTCCTTCAGGTCAGATAGATGCTGCTTCGTTCATTTCTCTTTGGTCCATGAACAAGGTCTGTTTTCTGTAGCCCTTGGCTTTTGTCTCCTGGGTGTTCCTGGTGAATCACAGACCAGTAGCGCGGCTCGGCGAGGCCCCCTAGTGTCAGCCCCTAGAACCACATGCTTATGTCATATCCAACTGTAGTGCTATGTGTTCCATTATGTACAGTGCATTTTGAGTACGAAATGATTGTACTTGGCTCGCAGGAACCAAGGAGAGGATGGAGGATAGGAACACAGGAACCAAGGAGAGGATGGAGGATAGGAACACAGGAACCAAGGAGAGGATGGAGGATAGGAACACGGTGCTGAGAAGAACTTGGTTGCCAGATTGTGTTCCATTTCCTCTTTATAGGAGAGCAAGTGACATGGCATTCAGCAAACTGACATGCATGCAGTTAGATCTGACTCCCAGATGGGAAGAGAAAAGCCTGACCACTGGGGAGAATTTGAGCTCCCATGGACATCAGTTGAGAGGTGGCATATTCAGTTTGCACTTTGAGTTTGGTCATTAAGTGGACAGTAAGCTGGAGAAGGAGTGGCTGAGGCAGGGAACCTGGCCATTCTGGGAAAGGAGAGGAGGGAAGAGGATGGACTCCGAGTGGGCAGTGGAGGATCTGGGACTCTGGTGTCCAGGAGCTAAGCTCCTAGGACTTCCCAGATGGGAGATGAGGAGGAAAAGTGTTGGTCCTAAGTTCTGATTCCCATGACAAGATAAGGAAGGCCCCTAGCCATGAGGAACAGTAGTCATAGTAGAGATGCTGGCCTCCAGACGTAGCTGCTAAGATGCAGCCTTTTCTTTCAGGATTGAGCTGAGCGCAAATTTTCCTTTTCTTCAGACTCATGATGCAAGAGCATTGTTTCCTGGTGCTGCTGCCCTGAGCAGCTCTGAGATGGGGGACCACACGGGGTCCCCCCACAGGGTCAGTTGTCCTGCTGGTGGAACCCTCAGCATCCCTGGGGCTCCTGAAGTCCCCTGCTGGGGTTGCAGTGGTCCCTTGCTTGGCCTTAGCTCTGCTCCTTCTTGGTAGGCAGCTCAGCTGCTGAAGTCTTCCTTCGTCAGTCGCTCTCCCCCAAAGTTGTCGCTGCTTCCTGAGTTGGGAACAGCTGGGCTCCTGGAGGGTGTCTCCTCCAGCCGCAGTCCCTGGACCTCACGGCACTGCATGACTGCCCTGCCACTGGCCAGCTGTGCTCATAAATGAGTCTTCATTAATAAAAACCTCATGAGGGTGTCCACCCCACTTAGAGCAGAGGAATTGTCTTTGTGCATAGAGAGCGTGGAGGGTAGTTTTTGGCCCGTAGCAAATGCCCACTAACTACTGCTTTTCATGCGGTATTTGTCAGTCGGACACTTACAGGCTGACCATGTTATGTTCACTGATGGGGAATTTTAATGTCACCCAAAGTGAGTAACGTGGGCATTTTCATGTGCTTGTGGGAACTGGAACTGCAGCATACTAGTGCCATAAAACTTAAGTGGCCACCTGTTTATATTTGCTGCATCAGGGAACCTGGGAATGTTCCAAAACTTTTTATGTGATTTTTAAAAATATGGGTTGTAAAAATATGTTTCTGCAGAAAGAAATGAGTCAACATTGTTTTAGCTAAAGTCGGGTTTTCGTTAATGCTAGATAGGTGAGGAAGGGTGGAGGTATTCATTTCTCAGAGAAACAAGCAAAAACAATTATTTTGAGAGCTGTTATATTCAGATGTGTTTTTAGCTTTCCTTTTGATACCAAATCAGGATTAGAAAATTAGGCCTCCTGTTTTCCCATTGAGCCATTAACCCTGTTCTCAATGTCACATTGGCCTGTGTGTCATTTGAATGTGAAGGGATCTCAGTGATGAAATGTTCCCTCTCCCTCTCGCTCATCACCTTCCTCCATTCCTCCCTCCTTCTCTCTTTCTCCTTCTCTTTCTTCTTCTTCTTCTTCTTCTTCTTCTTCTTCTTCTCTCTCTCTCTCTCTCTCTCTCTCTCTCTCTCTCTCGTCTTTTGAGTTAGATCTCCCTATGCAGGTCAGGCTGGACTTGAGCTCACAACGATCCTCCTGCCTCAGCCTCTTGAGAGCTGGGATTACAGATGTGTGCCACCTTGCCTGGCTGAGGTGTCATTTCTAATTAGATTTTATTCATCATTTGGGGTGGTTTTGCTAAATCACATGGGAAGCTGATGGTTCAGAGTCCCTGCCATTCTTCCTGTCAGCCTCTCTGACTTCTCAGCTGAAGCAAATTGACCTCCAAACGCAGCTTGGCATTCCCAGTGTCTACCAAGCGTCCCTCCGAGGGCTAGCCTTAGTTGTTGTGGAAGCCTAAGGGTGCAGATCCCTGGTGCAGCCCGAGTCTTCCCCTGCTCTGTTGGGAATGCTTTGTTTCCTTGGCTGCCTAGGAGTACAGCCCTGTGGAGTTCTGGGACTCTGTGATGCCACATGGGTTCAGGAATCTCTGAACACTCATTTCTCTGAATAGAAGCTTCTTGGTCTACTCATTCTTGTCCTTTGCCACAGACGACGGCAGTGTGACTCAGCTAGGAATCAGAAGAAGCTTATAGTTGTGACTATATCTCCTGGGCAAGTCTCTTTGCTCTCCCAGGGTAATAACAGTGTTCGTCTTCTGGGGAGAGGGTGGTCGTGAGTCTCAGCCGGGGGGAAGGCAGTGAAAACCCTTTGGATATCCAAGCATGCTATGAGTATGGTGATCGTGTATTTCCCGTTCAAATAGTAAGGGCAGGCAAACGTGTATCAGAGCAAAGTTTTGTTTTGTGTAATGACTGCTCCATTTGTGCGCTAGATAGAGGAGTAACTCGGACATCTTTTATCTTATGTTTTCCAACCACCAGAACCGGGACCAGTATTTGCATCTGCTCAGCGACCACTTCCTGCTATATCAAGGTCACAATTCCTTCCGGGAGAAGTATTTCAGTGGCGTCACAAAAAGAATTGCCAAGGAGGAAAAATCCAGCCAGGAGTAACAATTTAGCATTTGATTTTTTAAAAAAGATTATTTCACAGAAAAGGCATCAGGATATGAACTTTCATGTATGAGCCAGGAAACATGGAGTCTTTTTAAAAATTTTTTTCATATAAAAATGTACAAAGTGAATTGAGTAATTTTAAAGTAGCTTTGTTATAGAGATGTTTATTGTATATGTCGTGAACTGTTTTTGAACCTTATTTAACTTATATTTGTACTTTCAAATATTCATGGAGATTGAATCAGCTGTTATATTTTTTTACAATTAATTTACAAAGAAAATGTCTTTGACCTTTTAAAATTGTCTGTGCCAATGCTGCGGGCAGTGAAGAGTGGTTAAGAATTTATTCCTTTGTAAATCTGCTTGTTTCGACTTCTGATTGTAACTGATTTATTTATGTGACACCAGTAAACTTGACTATGATTTTTCTAAAACCACATTGTGTTCAGGTCTTCTTGGAGGAATGTAATGGGGATGAGTTTTTATTTATTTTTATTTTTTAAAATTCCATTTTATTCAAGGATAAAAAGGAGAAGAAAAAAACTACAACAAAATTTCAGACTATATCAGTCAGGGGGCGACAATACACTGGGGGGTGAGATTTTAGTTCCAAGGTGCACACAAGCGAGCCCCGGCGAGGTGGTGAGAATGAGGGAGGCTGAGACCTGACAGCTCGGGAGGGTCCCAGGCCCCCATCCGCAGGCCATGCACCCCTGGGGCTGTTGTACTTTGGATTCATTCCTGCCTCCTGAAATCTTGAAGTCTTGACTGTCGGTCAAGTTAACTACCTGCAATTTTTGGTTTAAAAAGTAATTGCTGGTTAGAAGCAGTAACAACACCACACATCCTGATGGTGCCCTAATGGTCTTAAGCCTAATCAGTGCGCTTTGAAATGAAAGCTGTGTTTTTCTTGAAGGAGAGAACTTTGCTGAGTCCACATTGTGTCCATCGTGGAAAGATCTTGTTTGAAAACCACGAGAGCCATTAATTTAGCACGCTAATGGCTTTCCTGCCTTCAGTGGTCAAATGTACCTCCGCAGGGCGGTGGTAAATGGATCCTCTCTTTCTAACCAGAGCCTATTTTTGTTTATGTTATTGTTATTATTTCAATGTTACTGCTGGGTTTTGTGAACTCGCAGTATTAACTTACGCGGCGGAGGAATTGCAGAAGGCCAACAGTTCCGAGCACGGAGCGAGGTCAGGCTGTCCGTGCTGTCCTCCTGTTCTGGTCTTGCAGGTCTGGGTTTCAGCAGCAGATCTCAAATGTTTCAGGGATTGTTTTGTTTGGGTTTCTAGTTGTGATTTGTGGTACACTGGGGAAAATCTAAGAGCGTTCAAGGATGATTTATTTTCAGTATTTCTGTTATAAACCGTCTTATTTAACATTTTTTGAGGTTATAAGGGAGGTGAGTATGAAACTTTGTAGCTGACTCAATTGGAATATGAGATTTTAGGTTAGTCCCTCTTTTAGATTATCACAAGAATTACTCCAAATAGTTTTGGAAATTTTTAGTATTAGTTTTATTTACTCTGTTCTTAAAAATTATCCAACACATTCAAAAACCTTCAAGTTATTTTTTTGCTATCCTGATGGAGATTGTCTAACAGTTCTTGTTGTGCTTGTGTTCGTGTGTGTAAGTTCTGATTTCACATTCCTGAAATGTCACGAGGCTCAGGAGTGTAAATTCATGTAGTTGTTTTGAAGTTAATACTCAGAAGTGAAAGAGAAACTCGATCACTTTCAACCAATTTTGATTTTAGAGTATAGGTTTCATGCCTTTGACTGTACAAAGAGACTTTCTTTTCTGGCATCAGGATCTTATTACCTTCTTCCCTGAGTTACAGGAGATCATTTTCAGGATTGCTCGGGCTCTATGTATGAGCTCAGTGTATTCCCTGTGCTCTTACAAGCAGAAATATCACTAGCAGGATTCCTGCGTTTCAGAGAGTTCTGCAGTTTGAATGTGCAGTACAATCTGGAGAGACCCTAGGTGGTCCGTGGACTGGCCTGTTTAATGTTTTTAATACAGCAAAATGTGTAATTTTGTTTCTGGCCTTATATTACACAGCCATAAAACCCAGACAGTTACCTTGGTGGCGTTTCATCAGAAATACCTTCTTCCTGTCCACTCTGGTGAGTACTTTTTCTTACTCTCATAGCTGGGAAGGAATAGTGGAGTAGGTGGTCTTGGATGTGTTTAGCCAATGTGGCCAGCAGATTTTTACAATGTTTAAAATCTGCTAATATTTTCTTGGCCACTTCCTTCCCAGAGTGACCCAGCTTCTAGCCACCTCACCACGAACTTCCTCATGACTAACTCTTTAAATATAAGGGTTGTGTAATGAAACATTTCAGACGGTTTAAACTCTGGGAGGTAAGGGACTCACCACTTATTTCCTTGCTGACAAAATTTACTCAAAAAACTGAAAAAAGGAAAAGAAGAAGGGAAAAAAGAAACCTCCACAGTGCTTAGGTTGGTAGGGGGAAGAAGATGTAAGGCGCTCTCACAAGATTAGGCTACTGGGTGTGCGTTTTTGGGTAGAAAATGTGCTTGGAGGTCAGACATGGAAACAGCTTTCAAGGTAATATATTTTATCCCCAGGGTAGGTTAGGGAAGCAGTGCAGAGGATGTCAGGATGTCACATCAGGGGAGTCAGACACTGAGGCTGTGTTATCTAGATGCTGGTAGAAGCAAATGTGTCTCCTGAACCAGAGGTTGCAGTTGCTTGGAGGAAGAGCCACGGCTGACATTATGCTGGACGGGCTATCAAGTGTGGCTCTCCAAGGAGACAGAGGGTAAAACATAATGTTTCTTTATTAAGGGCTGAAGGTGATCTTTTTTTTGGTGAAATGATCTTTTAATAAATCTCCCTTGAAACAGCACAGAGGAACTAACCCGTTTATAATGGGGGAGGGGTGTTATAGCTAAGCAGGGCATAAATAGATTCATCCTGCAGCATGGGGCGGGAGCCTGGGGTGGCTCTTGCCAAAGAGATTGATGCCCTTGCTGTTGACCTGTTTGACCAAAAGAGGCTGAGTTACACCAAAATAAAACCCTTGGCTCTTTTCCCCAGGAATATGGTTTTGGTCCATTACGAAGTTATTTAGAAAACTAAACACTTGTAAGAACCGTTTTTTTTCTTAGAAGGATTATATTCATAGAGTAAGTGGAGTTTAACTTTTGTTTCCAAGTCACCCACTCCCATTTTTCTCAGATATTTATCGAATAATGTGGTTTGTAATCTAAACAAAAAAAGTGCCTTAATCCACAACATACACATGGACACAATAACACTGGCCTGATGGTGTTTGTCCTTCAGTAAAACACTGAGATCTTCTCCAAAACAGAGTGGTTTGAGAACATAAGGTCTAGAGTGTAAAGCATTATAACGGAATGATAAACATATCTGGGCGCTATCTAGCCGTGGAATCAGAGAGGCAGCACATTCCTGTATGTTCTTTGGAGTAGAAACCGCTAGGGAAGCCGGAGCTGGCCCTGTTTCTAAGAAGAGGTCTGCCTTGGGACGTGCGTGTGCTTCACTGTGTGAGAGAAGTGCGTTGCTGTTTGAGGGAACTGGGCACCCTGGTGTTTGGCTCTTCCCCACCATGTAGAAGCTGCTGTGGACGGCTCTCAGCGGGATGGAGCGTTCATGGTCGTGGCAGTCTCTTCAGAAGCCCGGTCATGGGGCAGAATGAGGCTTCACACATGAATATTCGGATAAGCCAGCTTCCCTTAGGCTCTGCCAGCCTTGATTCTTGGGCTTTTAGGATGTGCTTAGCGTATTTTCATCCTAGAACCTGAAACTTCCTACTAGGATAGTTGTGTTGCAATCATGCCAAACTGAACTGCCTCAAAAGGAATCTGCTGTGACATTTTACTCTGTGACTTTGGACACCCCCCCACGCCCGCCCTCCTTATTCAAGCCTTCCTGGTCCTCCAGAAGGTGGGTCACATCCAGCAGGGAAGATTGCGAGTGAAGGTAGTAGGTCTGAAAGAAAGAAAAGCAAGCGAAGGAGAAGGAAGCGTCAGGCATGGGAGTGATGCTGGAGTTGTGCTTTCAGGGGCCTCCGAAGATCCCATCTGCTGTGAGTTGGTGAAATGGATCACAGCGATCACAGCTGGTGTTGGTGAGTGGTAAAAATCTGTCACTGTCCCTTAATATTTGTGTATAAATCATGGAGTCATTGCACCATGAGTTTTATTGTCTTCTGTACAAACAGATATTTATGTGCAACCCCTCCCCCACCCCCTACCAGTTCTGCACCAGTGCCTTGCGTTTCTGAATGTTTTGGGCTGATCTGAAATCCACGATGTCCGTATGGGGAGCTACATTGGAAGAAAGTGAACCCCTGCCCCCAACTCTCAGAGCTTAAGTCCAGCTTCCATTCAACCTTGGGAGACAGTGTCTTCCTTCAGGGGAAAAGGTATCCTCACTGCCCACGATAAAGCATTTACACTCTGTCAGCTCGAGATCTCTGCTTTGTAATGAAGCCCTTGGATGTGTGGACGCCTGTCTGGGCCTCACTGGGTTACTTCCCTGGGACTTGGGTATAAGGAGGTGCTGATTGTGGTCTGTGCCCTGAGTCCCGCAAAACTAGCAGGCTGTATTTGTTACTTTGTAGGGCGAAATCTCCAACCCTGCACAGCTTCCGTGGTGAAGGTAGGATGCTGACTGGGACATGGTTCACCAGGACAGGGTGTGGCTTTGTGGCCCAACTCAGGGGACCTGGAGGAAGTCCAGAGGGACTGCTAGCAAGAGTGCTGATTGGATTTCAGGTCTACCTGAAGACAGATGGTCCTCAACATTATTTCTGCCCCACAAGTGCCAGAAGGGATTCTCCCAAGCAGAAAGAACCCCATGTAGGTAAGCGATAGTATCTTTTTTTTCTCTTTCAATACTAAGGATTGAGCCCAGAGTCTTTTCACTGAGCTACATTTCTCAAGTTTTGAGACAGGGTCTTGCTAAGTTTCCCAGGCTGGGCTTGAACTTGGAATCCTCCTGCCTCATACCCTTGGAGTGCTGGGATCATAGGTATATGTCACGGTGCCTGGCAGGGCTGGTGTCTTAGAGGTTACATGACCTAGTGTCCCTTTCGATCTGCAGAATCTCCTGTGACTGATGGTATTGCAGATTGGAGCTGCTGGCGAAGGGAGAGGTGCCTGTGGAGTTCCGCAGCCCTGGACTCCTGACTCAGTCAGGCCCATCCCTGCGAGAAGCAGCCTTTCACATTCTGTCAGGCTGCTGCTAAAATGCCATACCCGAGCCTGACACCGTTTGGGGTGTATCAGATAGACTCGTGACTGTTGGCAGAAGGGGCCGATGAGTCTTGTTTGTCAGATTAGTCATTGTATGCAGGTGTGAAGCCCACTAGCTGAGCATGGGGGTGCACGCCTGTGACCCTAGCACTCCGAGTGAGGCTGGGGCAGGAGGAATC